CACTTCTAAGTGCAGTTTTATTAAAGTTGACCTGGAATGCTGCACTTAGAAGCACCTTCCTGTTTCACCTTTTCCCCATTCCCATGAGGACACTCTTCTGCTCAATCCCTAAGGACCTTCTTCCCAATGCCCGTGAGGACCCTCTTCTGCCTCACCCCCAATGATCTTCTTCCCCCATCCCTGTGAGGACCCTCATCTTCTCCGCACCCAAGGACCTTCTTTTCCCATCCCCAGTAAGGTGGGTAGCAGGGCACGTTGAAGATTGATGCTGTGCAAATATGGCAGCTGATGATGGATGTATTCATGGGACTGAAATCCCAACTCTGGGCTATGTGCTCCTCCAAAGAACTCTCTTGCCCCACCAACAATGATCTTCTTCCCCCATCCTTGTGAGGACCCTCATCTGGTCCGCACCCAAGGGCCTTCTTTCCCCATCCCCATGAAAACCCTCTTCTGCCTCACCTCCAATGATCTTCTTCCCCCATCCCTGTGAGGACCCTCTTCTGCCTCACCTCCAATGATCTTCTTCCCCCCATCCCTGTGAGGACCCTCTTCTGCCTCACCTCCAATGATCTTTTTCCCTCATCCCTGTGAGGACCCTCTTCTGCCTCACCTCCAATGATCTTCTTCCCCCATCCCTGTGAGGATCCTCATCTGCTCTGCACCCAAGGACCTTCTTTTCCCATCCCCAGTAAGGTGGGTAGCAGGGCACGTTGATGGATGATGCTGTGGAAATATGGCAGCTGATGATGGATGTATTCATGGGACTGAAATCCCAACTCTGGGCTATGTGGTCCTCCAAAAAACTCTCTTGCCCCACCAACAATGATCTTCTTCCCCCATCCTTGTGAGGATCCTCTTCTGCTCCGCACCCAAGGGCCTTCTTTCCCCATCCCCATGAGGACCCTCTTCTGCTCAATCCCTAAGGACCTTCTTCCCCCGATCCCCATGAGGACCCTCTTCTGCCCCAACCCCAAGAATCTTCTTTCCCCATCCTGTGAGGACCCTCATCTGCTCCGCACCCAAGGACCTTCTTTCCCTATCCCCAGTAAGGTGGGTAACAGGGCACGTTGGTGGATGATGCTGTGGAAATATGGCAGCTGATGATGGATGGTGTGTAGGGAAACCAGTACTGAGCAATGGAGACAAACTCTGTACAGAAGAAGGTGAAACAGGAAGGCACTTCTAAGTGCAGTTTTATTAAAGTTGACCTGGAATGTTGCACTTAAAAGCGCTTTCCTGTTTCACCTTTTTCCCATCCCCTTGAGGACCCTCTTTTGCTCAGTCCCTAAGGACCTTCTTCCCCGATCCCCATGAGGACCCTCTTCTGCCCCAACCCCAAGGATCTTCTTTCCCCATCGATGGAGGACCCTCTTTTGCCCCACACACCAGGGACCTTCTTACCCCCTCCCCACAAGGACCCTTTTCTGCACCCTCACCCCAGAGAACACCCTCCTTAGACATCCCTTCTGTCCCACCCCCAAGGATCTTCTTCCTTCATCTCCATGAGGACCCTCTTCTGCTCAACACCCAAGGACCTTTCTCCCCCATCCCCATATGACCCTCTTTTGCTCCACACACCAAGGACCTTCTTACCCCCTCCCCACGAGGACCCTTTTCTGCCCCCCTTCCCCAGAGAACACCCTCCTTAGATGCTTGGGCAATGATTTAGACATCCCTGTAAGGATCCTCTTCTGTCCCACCCCCAAGGATCTTCTTCCCCCATCCCCGTGAGGACCTTCTTCTGCTGAACCCCCAAAGGACCTTCTTACCCCATCCCCATAAGGACCCTCTTCTGCCCCACCCCCATGGATCTTCTTCCCCCATACCCGTAAGGACCTTCTTCTGCCCCACACACCAAGGACCTTTTTCTCCCCTCCCCATGAGGACCCTTTTCTGCCCCCTGCCTCCCATTTAAGTCTATGGTGAAGCTCCCCAAACATGCTGGCTAGGCATTTGTGGTGAGGTTTTAACACTTGTAAAACCCTCGTCTAATGCCCATACTAAAGCTCATTAACGCCTGTCTAACTCCCATACTAATGAAACTGGAGCTTTTGTTAAGAGTTCAAAATTTAGTCGAGGGTGAACAAGCCCTTATAGAGATTTCTCTTCACTTCCTGTCCCATAGCCAAAACAGGAAATGGGAGGAAATTCCTGGGGTATCACCCCAACGAGTGTCCCCATTGGAAGATTTCCCCTCTATTCCTGTTCTGGGGTCAGCCCAAAATTTGGGATTTTCTTATATTTTCTAGGGATGCACTGAAATTTTGGTGGCCGAAACATTTTGGCTGAAAACCCTCCTTTCGGCCGTCGGGTGATATGAAAAAAAATTGCCGATACAGGTGCGGAAAAAAATGCCGTCCCTCGCCGCTAGCCGCCGCTCGGTATTTCTCAGCCTTACCTGAGAAACTGTTGAAACCGAGAAACCGGTGCTGGGCATAGAGATGAGTGAAGGAAAGATGGCCTCCACTCATCTCTATGCCCTTGGAGGATCGGAGCGATCTCACTTCCGGTTCCGGCCATTTTTTTTTTTTTTTTTTTAATCTAATGCTTTACATTGCAGAGAGTCTTATTGACCCCATATCTCTCCATAAAGCTGACCTGTCACTAATTATTTCTATCACAAGGGATGCATGCATTTTTTGTGATCAGAATAAAAGTGATTACATTTTTTTTTAAAGGGACAGTGCAAAAAAAAAAAAAAACATTAAAATAAAAGTTTAAAGTGACCCTGTCCCCCCGTGCTCACACGTAATGGTGAACGCATACATAGGCCATGCCCACATATGTAAATGGTGTTCAAACCACACATATGAGGTATTGCTATGAACGTCGGAGCAAGAGCAATATTTCTCTCACTAGACCTGCTCTGTAACTTTACACTGCTAACCTGTAGAGATTTTTAAAGCATCACCCATGGAGATTTTTAGGTACCGTAGTTTCACAGTTTCCTGCATTTTTCTGGCATTCTACATAGACCACAAATACAGTTTTTACATGCAGATGTAGCCTACAGAGTGTCCAGTCAGAAGGAAGTATTTTCATCTCTCTGCAACTAATATTTTATCTTTTATGAGAGTTGAAATCTATTCCTTTGATCTGTGTATATACATCAGAGCTCCCCAGACAGATTGGAGCCCCCTTGGTCTCCTGCAGCCGAAATGTCTGGCGTTCCTCTTTTAAACTTCAGGAAGGTGGCAAAGTCTGATTATACGTAAATGGTGTTCAAACCACACACTTGAGATATCGCCAGGAACGTCTGAGCAAGAGCAATAATTCTCACACTAGTCCTCCTCTGTAACTTTACACTGCTAACCTGTAGACATTTTTTAAAGCATCACCCATGGAGATTTTTAAGTACCGCAGTTTCACGGTTTCCTGAATTTTTCTGGCATTCTACATAGACCACAAATACAGTTTTTACATGCATATGTAGCCTACAGAGTGTCCAGTCAGAAGGAAGTATTTTCATCTCTCTGCAACTAATATTTTAGCTTTTATGAGAGTTGAAATCTATTCCTTTGATCTGTGTATGTACGTCAGAGCTCCCCAGACAGATCGGAGCCCCCTTGGTCTCCTGCAGCCGAAATGTCTGGTGTTCCTCTTTTAAACTTCAGGAAGGTGGCAAAGTCTGATTATACGTAAATGGTGTTCAAACCACACACGTGAGATATCGCTATGAACATCAGAGCAAGAGCAATAATTCTCGCACTAGACCTCTTCTGTAACATTACATTGCTGACCTGAAGACATTTTTAAAGAATCACCCATGGAGATTTTTAATTACCGCAATTCCACGCCATTCCATGAGCGTGCGCAATTTTAAAGCGTGACATGTTGGGTATCTATTTACTCGCCGTAACATCCTCTTTCATATTTTACAAAAAAAAATTGGGGTATATATTGTTTTTTTTAATCAAAATATATTTTTTTTCCAAAAATATATATATATATATATTCATTTTTAAAAACTGCGCATTTCGGTTTTGGTGCATTTTGAGTTTTCAGCATCAGAATTTTCATTTCGGTGCACCACTAATATTTTCACTTTCAATGATAATGGTAAACAGGACAGATAGAGAGGGGGAATCTCCTTATCGAGGGCATAGACAACGATAGCAACTGCCTGGGGTTCTAACCCCTCTCCACTCCATCCAATAGAAAAAAAAAGTTTTACCTTTAGTTATACTTTTAAAAAAATGTATTGAAAAATCAGAGCTGCATTGATTTGTGTATTTTATACAGTGGTGCATTTAGGTTTTGTGCTGCTCTAGGCTACACAGATATCAGACACCCCCCCTCCCCGGCAGAGAGAGCCTGACACCGACCAACACCATACCCAGGGGCGGACTGACCATTTGAGCACTCGGGCACTGCCCGAGGGCCCAGGGTCAGTAAGTGCCCCATGAAATGCCCCTGGTACCTTTTTATAGGCTTTTTTGGGTGTGCTTTGATTGTGAGCAAGGACACAGGGGCCCCATGATCCCCTATTGCCCGGGGGCCCCATGAGTTGTCAGTCCACCCCTGACCATACCCCCCCCACCTGACAGTGACCAACAACACCCCTGCCCCATCCCCACCCCCACCCGAGAGAGCCTTCCACTAACACCCCACAGCTCTGGACATCCCCGGGAATGACAGTCAGATTCTGCATACACCATCAAGCAGCCCCTCTCAGATCCCACCTGGTCCCTATGCCGCAGTGCTGCCCCCCCCCTAAAAGGTGCCTCCCTAGGCAAATGCCTTGTGGTGAATACGCCCCTTCAGGGGCAGACTGATCATTTGGAAACTCAGGCACTGCCCGAGGGCTCGGGGTCAGTAGGGGGCCCCCATGAGATGCCCCTGGTACCTTTTTTCATAGGCTTTTTTGAGTTTGGGCAGGGACACAGGGGCCCCATGATCCCCTATTGCCCGGGGGCCCCCATGAGTTGTCAGTTTTACCCCTGCGCCCCTGATTTTATATCGGTCTTCACTTGGTTTCTCTGCTTCTTTGTGCAATGCAGGCATTGAAAGGGGTGGCCAGGGACAGCCAGGATGTGGAGGAAAGGGCTAGATGCTCCTGGAAGTCTTCCAGCCAGAAAAAGAGGTGGGCTCTATCTTGCTGCAGCTTCTAATGCACATTGTGAGAAGCTCACAGTGTGCGGTGAAATCAGAGAAAGCCATTTCAGTCCAGGAGAGGAGCCGATACACCTGTGAAAGACTGAAGGGGAGGAGCCGGTACACCTGTGCAAGACTGAAGGGGAGGAGCCAGTACACCTGTGCGAGACTGAAGGGGAGGAGCCGCTACACCTGTGCAAGACTGAAGGGGAGAAGCAGGTACACCTGTGCAAGACTGAAGGAGAGGAGCCGGTACACCTGTGCAAGACTGAAGGGGAGGAGCCGGTACACCTGTGCAAGACTGAAGGGGAGGAGCCGGTACACCTGTGCGAGACTGACGGGAAGACGCCAGTACACCTGTGCAAGACTGAAGGGGAGGAGCCGATAAACCTGTGCAAGACTGAAGGGGAGAGGCCGGGAACACCTGTGCAAGACTGAAGGGGAGGAGCCGGTAAACCTGTGCAAGAGTGAATGGGAGGAGCTGGTACACCTGTGCAAGACTGAAGGGGAGGAGCTGGTACACCTGTGCAAGACTGAATGGGAGGAGCCGGTATACCCTGTGCAAGACTGAAGGGGAGGAGCCGGTACACCTGTGAAAGACTGAATGGGAGGAGCCGGTACACCTGTGCAAGACTGAAGGGGAGGAGCCGGTACACCTGTGCAAGACTGGAGGGGAGGAGCCGGTACAACCTGTGCAAGACTGAAGGGGAGGAGCCGGTACACCTGTGCAAGACTGGAGGGGAGGAGCCGGTACACCTGTGCAAGACTGAAGGGGAGGAGCTGGTACACCTGTGCAAGACTGGAGGGGAGGAGCCGGTACACCTGTGCAAGACTGAATGGGAGGAGCCGGTACACCTGTGCAAGACTGAAGGGGAGGAGCCGGTACACCTGTGCAAGACTGAAGGGAAGGCCGGAGTTCTGCTTTAAAGAGAGAACAATCATTGAGTCGGAGGGTGATATGGATTTCACGTTCCATCCTTCACTCTTCCCCGGGTGACACTGCGGCCTATTATTGGGATTGGTTTATGTGTTGTAAATGCTTATTTACGACGTGTCAGGGAATGTCCCCTGGAGGACGTTGTCACCGGCCCCCGCCGCCTCTGTGCGGGAGAGAGCGCTCCTTTGTTAGAGGAGATAAATGATAGGAACTGAGATTTGTCATCATCCCGTGTCAAGCGATCGCTGATACCGCCATATATTACGGAGAGGGCCGCTGTGACAGATACTCAATAGCTGCACCGACCTCGGATGAGCGATGGGGTGACACACACTCCTGGGAGGTCCACCATCCTCCTCTTCATATAAAGAGTTAAAGGGCCACGCACATCAATCCATCATAAATAGGCAAAGAGGAAAATCTCGTCTATTCATTCCTTTTATAATGATTCACTATCACCCCATTGGTGTCCTGGGATTCCCCAAAAAAGTCCACACCCAATAGCAGGTAATGACGTGAGATTCGGACTTCACGTTCCGGGATCGTTTACACGTGCTTCAAAATGTGGCATCGGCAGAGGCGTCCCCAGGGTTGGTGTCACCCGGTGCGGTAACATGTGGTGTCACCCCTCCAGAGAGGAAGGAGCGGTGAAATGAGTGTCCCCTGAAGCAGCTGCACATGTGCCGCTTTCAGGCCGAAGAAGCCGATCTCCGACTTTAGCACAGAGCTGCCACAGTTAACCCCTTACAGGCTGCAAACTGCTGAAACTGATCACTATGGGTTGTAAGATCAGTTAACCCCGTAGAGGTTGAACCTGTACGGGGTTAACTGAACTTGCAACCCATAGTGATCCGCGGGATGGTGAGGACCCCTCATATTGGGCACAGCAGGTGTGCAGATCAGGGATCTCAGCACAGGGATGGTGGAAACCCCTCATAATGGGCACAGCGGGTGTACAGATCTGGGATCTCAGCACAGGGATGGTGGGAACCCCTCATAATGGGCATATCAGCTGTACAGATCCGGGATCTCTGCACAGAGATGGTGGGAACCCCTCATAATGGGCACATCGGGTGTTCAGATCTGGTATCTCAGCACAGAGATGGTGGGAACCCCTCATAATGGGCACAGCGGGTGTACAGATCCAGGATCTCAGCACAGAGATGGTGGGAACCCCTCATAATGGGCACAGCGGGTGTACAGATCCAGGAACTCAGTACAGGGATGGTGGGAACCCCTCATAATGGGCACATCGGGTGTTCAGATCCGGGATCTCAGCACAGGGATGGTGGGAACCCCTCATAATGGGCACATCGGGTGTTCAGATCCGGGATCTCAGCACAGGAATGGTGGGAACCCCTCATAATGGGCACATCGGGTGTTCAGATCCGGGATCTCAGCACAGGGATGGTGAGGACCCCTCATAATGGGCACAGCAGGTGTACAGATCCGGGATCTCAGCACAGGGATGGTGGGAACCCCTCATAATGGGCACAGCAGGTGTTCAGATCCAGGATCTCAGCACAGGGATGGTGGGAACCCCTTATAATAGGCACAGCAGGTGTACAGACCCGGGAACTCAGCACAGGCAGGGGCGGAATGACCATTTGGAAACTCGGGCACTGCCTGAGGGCCCGGGGTCAGTAGGGGGCCCCATGAGATGCCCCTGGTACCTTTTTCATAGGCTTTTTTAAGTTTGGGCAAGGACACAGGGGCCCCATGATCCCCTATTGCCCGGGGGCCCCATGAGTTTTCAGTCCGCCCCTGAGCACAGGGATGGTGGAAACCCCTCACAATGGGCACAGCAGGTGTACAAATCCAGGATCTCAGCACAGGGATGGTGGGAACTCCTTGATGTAAAACAACCCATTTAGTTTAAATTAGAAATGCAATTAAAAACATTATAAATACATTTTTTATTTCTTTCTTTTTTGTAAGCGATCACATTCCCTTTGCTCTCAGATGCATTAGAAGCTCAGATAGCTGGGGGAGAAGAAATAGCAGCACACTGGTCGTCCCAGTGAATGGCTGTGCGAAGGTTGGGGTGGGGGGGTGTCAGGGCAAGTTTGATCATTGGAGGAGAGCAGGCTGAGCTCCCAACACAGCTGGAGAACTAACCTCGATGTGCTCTCATGCCTAGTGTGGTCAGTTTTTTTTAATAGGAAAGCAGTGGGACCGGCAGGAACCTCAGGGATTTCACACGATGGAAGCAATACAAAGAGAACCGGAGAGCTGCACGACACAGCAGGCATATATGAAATGTTGGGTTTATATATTCTTCAATTCTACGTTTCTATATCGTCACCATGCATTGGGTTTGCCTGTTCTGGAACCTGATGGGCGGGAGGGGGAGGTACTTAGAGGAGGGAAAGCTCAGCATGGGCGGTACAAACGGTGGACAGCAGCCTGTTCTTGAACCTGATGTGTGGGAGGGGGAGGTACTTAGAGGAGGGAAAGCTCAGCATGGGCGGTACAAAGGGTGGACAGCAGCCTGTTCTTGAACCTGATGGGTGGGAGGTACTTAGAGGAGGGAAAGCTCAGCATGGGCGGTACAAAGGTTGGACAGCAGCCTGTTCTGGAACCTGATGGGCGGGAGGGGGAGGTACTCAGAGGAGGGAAAGCTCAGCATGGGCGGTACAAACGGTGGACAGCAGACTGTTCTTGAACCTGATGGGTGGGAGGAGGAGGTACTCAGAGGAGGGAAAGCTCAGCATGGGCGGTACAAACGGTGGACAGCAGACTGTTCTTGAAACTGATGGGCGGGAGGAGGAGGTACTCAGAGGAGGGAAAGCTCAACATGGGCGGTACAAAAGTTGGACAGCAGCCTGTTCTGGAACCTGATGGGCGGGAGGGGGAGGTACTTAGAGGAGGGAAAGCTCAGCATGGGCGGTACAAAGGGTGGACAGCAGCATGTTCTGGAACCTGATGAGCAGGAGGGGGAGGTACTTAGAGGAGGGAAAGCTCAGCATGGGCGGTGCAAACGGTGAACAGCAGACTGTTCTGGAACCTGAGGGGCGGGAGGGGGAGGTACTTAGAGGAGGGAAAGCTCAGCATGGGCGGTACAAAGGGTGGACAGCAGCATGTTCTGGAACCTGATGGGCAGGAGGGGGAGGTACTTAGAGGAGGGAAAGCTCAGCATGGGCGGTGCAAACGGTGAACAGCAGACTGTTCTGGAACCTGAGGGGCGGGAGGGGGAGGTACTTAGAGGAGGGAAAGCTCAGCATGGGCGGTACAAAAGGTGGACAGCAGCCTGTTCTGGAACTTGATGGGCGGGAGGAGGAGGTACTTAGAGGAGGGAAAGCTCAGCATGGGCGATACAAACGGTGGACAGCAGCCTGTTTTTGAACCTGCTGGGCGGGAGGGGGAGGTACTTAGAGGAGGGAAAGCTCAGCATGGGCGGTACAAACGGTGGACAGCAGCCTGTTCTTTACCTGATGGGCGGGAGGGGGAGGTACTTAGAGGAGGGAAAGCTCAGCATGGGAGGTACAAAGGGTGGAGCAGCCAGGAGGCGGGGCAGTGACACCGGGATTGTGGTTTGAAAAATGAATTCCTCATCGTTCAGCCGCCATTCACCACAGCAGGGGTTTGCCGTATCAGAAAAATCTTTAAATGTAATTTTTAGATCTTTTATACTTTTATTTGTAATATTAATTCTCTTCAAGTATTTCAGTTTTATATTTAACTTTTTTTGGGACGTTGAGATTTAAATCTTTTTTTTTTTTTGCATAATTTGCAGTCACAGACTGGTCCCCTCGTCATTGTGCAGCCAGCGGTTGTCATAACAACAGCGCGGCGCTGCCCCGGGGACGGGTCATGCGTGTGCTAGCTGGGATTAGAGTCTCTATAAATAGGGAGCGCTGCGCCTTGATGGTGAAAAGCATTAAATATTCAGAAATTCATTTACATTCATGAGTCTGCGCTTCCCATATGGCGCGGAGGGTAGACAGGTGTCATTCACAGCACCCGGCATACATTAATACAGAGCCATCCGGGAAAATGTACAGAATTCATGTTTAACCGCCTTGTGGCCGATGGGCTTAGTCTGCATTCGTGGTTTTTTAGAGATGACAGTTGTGTTTTAAAGTGGAGCCGTTGCTGAGGCATATGGGACTGAGATCCTTAACTGTCCACAAATGTCTGACACAGATCAGCCTCTGCTTACAACCTCTCACCTTGTGGCTGCAAAGTCACAATGTACCGTCTGATTCCCAGGGCGAGGGGAGACTAAGGAAATGCTTCCTCTTGCCTGCAGCAGGCTGATGACATCATCTCAGCCTAGGCAAAGTCAACGACTAAAGCTCAAGGATGGCTTTTTAACCATTTCCCGTCCGGCTCATTTATATAAACGGCTGGACGGGAGCAGTGCAGGAGCGGGTTGCCGTTCATAAACGGCGCCCACTATTTTAGCCTGTGCGCGCTCCCTGGGAGCACGC